ATGTCCAGAAGTTACTCGGGGTTCAGTTTTGTATACGTCTTGTGTGAGTACCTGCTTAAAGCATAATTTACCAGTCTCATAGAAAGAGTGAATTTTTTCAAAACCTGCTTTACTAATCTCTGGTACATTTTCGAACAAAATATGTGTTTCAGGATGTAGACAATTAAAAGCCAACGATAATTCTGTAACTAGAGACCAAAGTGAATCTTTGTGTGACTTGATTGCACGATCACTTTGAATTACTACAATATCATCAATATATTCTGCAAGAAGTATTGATAAACGATTTTCTTTACTCTGGGCCGCTTGAATTTTTGATATCATAGTCTGCTGATTGGTAAGATTACCACTAATATTTTGTTTGGTATATTTCACACCATATGTTTCAAGCACTTCATCAAAAGCAAGATAGTGCCCTTCCCTTGTAAGATTTACTGAGCATACTGTTTGTAATAAATTTTGTAGCTGTGAATCATCATGGATTTGAGCCAAGAAATATGCTATGGAGCTTGCATACTTAAACTTTTCAGCTGCAGGAAACAGAGATGCAAACGCAGCTAAATTTGCTATTTGCATCTTATAATTTCCTCTTCTAATTCCAATTTTGTGGCCTATAAAATATCCTGTCCAGCAAAAGAAGAAAAGCTACACTTTTATTAAGTTATTATTTTCACTCAAAATATCGCTCATAGTTATTTGTTTATTTTTAACATATTCACATAGTGAAATTCTGACCACGACCCAAATTAACTCTAAAATGCGACATGTTGCTCGGTAATCTATTACATGTTCGAATTTGTCTAGATATTGTACTCCAAGAGTTGCTGCAAGGTTAAATATTCCATATCCGGAGAATATTGTAATCAAGGTGTAACACATGTCTTTAGACGTGTGCCATTGTCCCAAAAGAAGTCAGACATCATTATGAGTTTCCTTGTAGGAAATTAATCTCCCAAAAATAGCTTGGTTACATGCAATATATAAATGGTTGTCAACACCACAGAGCAATTCATCATGGTACATTTCGCATGCTGCATAGACATTATCATTACAATTAGGTAGATCACCAGGTTTCAATATTACAATATTTGGTGGTGAGATATTGCAGCTAATGGGTATTTGTTTAATAATTTTTGAATGTATATCTTCCATATCAAAGTCATTTATATGAGTTTTTAATATTCTGTTAAAAATAGGTTTATACATCGTTAAAAGGTTGTTGGTAATTAAAGATTCCCCAAACAATGGTTGATCAATAGCTTCTTGATCTCTATGTAAATCAAAAAAGGTGGGTAAAGTAAATTGAAAAACTATTCTTAGTGTTGCATGAGAAGTTCCTCTAGTAATATCAAAAATGTTTCTATATGAAAACATAGAAGCTTTGAAATCGATATTGTCGATTACTGCCAAATTCCAAATATTTGGCCCTTCAATTAGGTATTTTCTAGGATCTGCATTTAGTGTCCTGAACCTTTCAAGTCAATTTTTGTGTCGCTTAGTATATGAAACAATAGATGCTGAATGAAGAACCTCCTGTAAGTATGATACCAAATTGGGCTTCTGGTATAATGATAAAATGATATGCAAAAGCCAGATTTTTTTCTCAGAAAAGGCAATAGTAAGTAGCATAGAGGTCATCAAGCTAATTGTTTTTGATATCTGATTTGTGTTATACGATTTGGGGAGAAGCCCACATTGAAGTTTTTTAATATTAATGACCTTTAGTTTATGTTGATAGAGTACTATGAGAAGCACTTGAAAGAAGCTGCAGATAATATTAGGCAATACATCAAAATAGTTTTCATATAAGCTTGAGTTTTCTAACTGATCAATATTGTTTTTAATTTCAGAGCGTGAATATAAAACTTCTCTTTCTAATTTTTCTCCTATCATTGAGGCCTTTACTAGATTTATACGAGACTTTTCTTTAGCTAAGTTATTTAATTCAACATTCTTTATTCTCATTGTTATTTCAACAACTAGCTTGCCTGGAATTTCTAAAGAGTCTGTTGTTGTATCATTAACAATAGATGAAAATATCTTGCATAAAAGCCTTTGTTGTAGCTCTCGATTATCCGATTTTGCTACCGATGTCAACTATTTTCCAATAAGTTTTAAAGCATCACTTGTATCTTCGCTATGTTTCCCAAGTTCAGCACATGACATTAATGCTGTAGCTGCTTTTTATTTACCTGGTCTTTTATACAGATGTTCACCATGTTGCTGAAAACATTCTGAGCAGATATAACGTACACGACCTAAATGTGACTTTTGTGAAAAAGATCCTTCAGTAAATATGGGACATTTATGAACACAAATGCAAGGTACTTGAATGTTATGTCCATTGACATTCTACAAATACTTTTCACAGTTGTTCCCATGGCTAAAAAAACATTTTTTCTTTCTACAAAAAAGACAGATGCAAATATAAAGGATACTTTTCTCAATTGTTTGTAATTGTTTCATGCCAATATCATGAAGCTGATTCTGGTCAAAAATAAAATGGGTATAGCATACACCAAGTCGATTAAGTGTATGTGCATCATCTCTTTCTCATATTCCTACTGTTTGCCAAAATCGCCGCAAATTTGTCATGTTATTGTCTTGAATCTTTTCAATTGCATGCATATCAATTTCCCATGTCACTACCATTTGTCAAAGTCATCGTAGATTTTTTGTACTATTACAACATTTTATCTCGCCTTCGATAATATCTACAATTACGCATGGCATTAAACTCAGACTCATATGAGTATCTTCAATTTCTATATCTTTTTCTATTTCATCTGACATCGTTAAAGAGAACTTACTGTAAATGCTTGAATATTCATTTTCGTCCCAGTTAATATCTTCTATTTTTTTATCATAATTCAGCATAATTCAAGCATTTTCAAGAATAACTTGGTCAACGGTGAAAGCATCTTCATAATTGTCTTCGGGAATATCTATTTCATCACTGTTGTTGTTATTTAGCATAATTTGAGCACTTTCAAGAGTAACTTGGTCAATGGTGAAAGCGCTTTTATAACTTTCTTCGGAAGTATCCACTTCATCACCATTGAGTATGATTTGAGCACCTTCAAGAGTAACTTGGTTGACGGTAAAAGCATCTTCTTTATAGCTTTCTTCAGAAGTATTACATTCTTCCATGTAAGTGAATTTAGATTTAAACATTTTTTAAAAAATATTATTTTTGCAGACAATTATATTTTTATGCAGAATATTGTAGGTTAAACAATCGGATTATGTTTTTATGAAGAAATCAAGAGTTTGTTTTGACAAAAATATGCCTTGAGCGATGAGGCATATTTATCTTTTATTTTTCTTATATGTTTTCTAGCATTATTTCACATTTACATATAATTTTTACTAATTACACATTTAATTTATGTGACAGACAAAAAAACAACGATTCTTTCAATGTTTTAGGATAAGTTATTTTTAAACTTCAAAGAAAAATAAGCGATTGCACAACCACGTCAGTTTTAGACAGTGTTGTGTAACGGTTTGTTCATTGGTAATTGTCACTTACTTATTTATCATGTTACATAATAGATAAGACAATAAAATGATGTGACAATTACCAATGGACAAACCGTTGCACAACACTGATTTTAGATGAATCTTATTTCCATATCTCGAAACAGTTTTACCAAAGTAAAATAAGTACATTAGGCTAGACATGAAACTATGTCTGAATATAAGAAGGGGACTGTTTTCTCGAATTTGAAACATTTTTTCAGTGTAAAAACTTTCATCGGGCTACTTCATCAAGGAAATAAACTGATATATTTGTAATATTTTTTTTTTTGGTTTAAAATCTTTATTTAATAAAATATTTAAATACATTTTTATATTCTACTACTATGCCTTTGTCTACTACAGAAATACCACGCAATTGGCATAATGCAACGATTTGAATTTGTCAAATTTCATGACAATAAAAAAATAAAATTTAGCAGTTAGTCATTTATTTTCATGTAATAAAAAAATATAAACTAAAAGATTATAATAAAACCAGCTTGAATTCAGAAACTTCGAAACCTTGAATAGAAGTATTGTGCTCTAACAAACTTAAGTCTATCAATTGCCGTTTGAATTCTGCCATATTAACAGTTAAAAGTAATACTGTAATAAATTGCTACTGTATGTTGTAAAATAAAAAATAATAATAAATTAAAAAACACTTAGCTAAAAACACTACTAGCAAACTCCTAACCAACACGATAGTATTAAGACCAAATCTAACATGTCTTCAATCAGAGCTTCCATAATATTCTTCATGCTCTTGTATCTATATCTTCAGCCTTGTTCTGCTTCGAAACCAGTTAAGGCTTTTTACAGTCTTATCAGTAAAACTAGCTACCGGCGAATATAAAAATCTTTCAATATCAACGCTAGTTCTGAATCGACCAACTCTAGTTCTAATTCAGATCAACATGGTTAGTGAATCGGTTGTTGGCTTTTTTTATTATTAATACACTTTGTAATTTCTATGATAATTAACAAACTTCATAAAAACAAACCAGTTCTTGTCTCATACGTTGCATCGCGAGATCCACGTTATAACTGGCCGGGCAATTTGCAATTCTTCGACATTGCACGAAGTAAAATTTTTGAAAGAGTTACTAGTGAAGTGGGCTTATATGCTATTGCTAAAATGGTTTAACATTTCTAAAGACTTGGTATTTGTTGAAAACACGAGTTGTGTGAGTTGGTAGGAACTAAATCGGGCCCTTGGGGGAATAGTTGTCGTGAATCTAGTTAGATCTATACATATTATAGAAGTTAGAACGCTCAAACTTTGTGCGAAGATTTTTAGCCCTATAGAAAAAATTAAGAGCTGGGCTTTTTATAATTCTATAAAAAAACGCTTTGCGCATATTTTTGACTTAAAAAGTTATGGATGTTTTGTTTCACAAACATGGGTTATCATAGAAGAAACTTTTAAAAGTATGGAATTTTTAATATAAAAATTGAATAATCGACATTTGATTTACCATATGAATTATATTTGGAACCCCTGTAAATGGACATGTCCCTTGATAACGCTAATTTTTTTTTTTTTTGATTGATAGCAACATAGTAATTTGTACATATAAGATCAGCTCCCAGACAATATTTATTTATAATGTTTTTTTTTGACCCGTACAAAAAAAATATACAGTATTTTAGAGAATAAAATATTCTTCTGTGATATTAAGTTGTTAGCTAGTTTTCTGACGTGTAAGTGTATAAGTGTAATTCTATAAGTATTGTAATTGAAAAGAATAATTAATAAATATTCAATATGATGATAAATAATATACAGTATTACATACTTTTTTTTTTTAATTTTTTAATTTTTTTTATTTATTTATTTTTTTTAATCCATGTTGAAAATTGGATTTAATGTATCTTCTAGTCTAGTTATAAAAACCTTTGCCTTTTTAGCGTCATCTCTTTCTTTAATGCTTTAATATTTGTTGCATAATCTTTTAGTGATCTCATTTATAACGTGTCATTTGTTTTCTGCATTTTTTTCTTTCTCAGTTCATCCTAAAGCCAATGTTATGAATTAGAGAAAATATATAATCGGTTAGTTAGTTTAAAATTTTTTAAAAAATCAATTACAAATCAATTAATTGATTTTATATTTATTGTAGTTTGTATAATTTTATGCCCCTATGATTAATTTTTTTATGATCAAATGATTGTAATTGCAATCATGATTGCAACCACAATTGCAATTACAATCATTTGATTATAAAAAAATTAATCATAGAGGCATAAAATTATACAAACCACAATGATGTAAAATCAATTAATCGATTAATCAACAATAATCGATTCATATTACCTGAAGCTTTTATATTTACTAACTCTCAGCACTCATACACCTTGAAGCCACTTTATTCAAACATTCTTTGATATATTTTTTAGGCTTTAGCAGTTAATAATCGATTAGTTCCTCATAAAATATATGTTTGCAGGGTAATATATATTTATTATAAAATAAATAGCAACAACTAAGCAAAGTAAGTCCAGACACACCCTTGCCTTTCGCTAATCTATTCATCATTGTGCTAGCCTCGTTTACAAGCATTGATTGCACAGGGTAAGAAAATTTGTGAATTTCCTTCATTATTTCATCGCCAATACTATAGACTGACATTTTTTTGTACGAAAGTTAAAAGCAACACTTTCAGCATCAATTTGTTTTTTATGATCAAGGAGAATAACTTTAAGTAATGCATCGATTAATCTATGCAAGTGAGACATTGTCTTTTTAGCTCACTATGATAAGACTCTAATGTGTTAGTTAATATAACCTGAAGCAAAAGTGGAGAATACTGTTATGCCCAAAGGGCCCATTGGTGTGTATTTTTTACATAATTTTGTTGAATATAATTGCGAACAGCAGGAACCGGACAAGTACTAATTGCTTTTTGAACAGATTGCTCTCAACCTACTTTCATTTTTTTATGCATTGCTTCCATCATAATTTGTCGAGTTTCATTTTCATAAACTTTCAAAATTCACATATACATTATATGGACAATGCAGTATAAGACTTCACACACTTGTTCTCTAGCGGTAATACCAGGAAATACTTTTTTTATACTATTGGCCTCAGTGTGACTTTGATCAATTATAATATAATAGTGAGCCCAACGCCGACATTTAATTTGAATCAATTGCAGCACCCTCGCTATAATTTTACTATCTTCAGAGCATACAAAAAAATGTGGACCACTTTTCCAACATTCATGGTTATTACAGATGTATAATGTAAAGAGCCTCCAGTCGTGTTTGTTCATTTTATGAGTAGAGTCCATTAATGTAAGCCATCCATGGCGTTGAAGTTTTTTTATCTGTCTATTGTTTATAAAAACTATATCTTCTGTGCTTTTTTTTTTTTTTTCAGCAGATTGTTAAGATACATGAAAATGTTCAGCATAAAATCCCTCTTCTTTTAAATATGAAAGAGTTTTGGATATATCTACTCTAATATTTGTATTCCCAACTAGATGAGAGTTCATAGAACCCTGAATCTCATATCTAATATTCACAACCTCTCTTCGCTTTAGATACTCAACGCTATCACCTAACTCTAGTTTATTTTTTGTGTATTCCTTTACAGCGTTTGTAATTGCTACTGGAGTGTAATTCTTAATAGCTTCATTCACAACTAAAGTTCGAATAGTGCTTGAACGTTTAACCATGTCACTTTCGCCCAAGATATGTGTATAATCTGGTGAATCTTTAAAATGTTCAACCTGAACTATCTTGGAAGAAGCGGACTATATTATCTTTATCTTGGCTTCGCAAAGCCCAGCCGGTCGAGTAATTGCTTTTCAATCGAAATATCTTCTTGCCGTGTACTTGAGCTTTGATATTTCATAAAGCGATACATATAAATCTTTTAGGAGTTCCCGTTTTTAAGTTTATAAGAGCCAAAAACTGTCATATATTTGTGACCAAAGGCCACAAAATATTGTCAAACTCTTTATCTGGTATTTCAAAAGGATCTTTTATATTAAAAAAAAGGGAATGCAACTCAGTATTACTAGGGTCTGTAGCTTTGTTTTCTTTATCTATAGCCACCGCCAATCAACTTAAAAAAAAAAAAAAAAAAAAAAAAAAACTAGAAATTTTTAAAAAATATATATATTGTTTCTTTTTTTCTAAAAAAAAAAATTGCTTTACTTAATCTTTGCAGCAGAAAAAAATTGCTTTACTTAAACTTAAAATCTTTCCTTATTATAAAAGAAATTACTTTGTGAAAATCTTATAAAAAAAAAAAAAACTTTTAAAACAAAGAAAAATTTTTCACACTTAAACTCTTATAACGATAACAACAAAAAAAAAAAACATAGCGATAGTAGATTATTATAAATATAGAACGTTCAATGCATGTGATTAATTTCTGTATCATCTCAACACATGACATGTAGACAATCAAAATTTTACTCTGCTTTAACCGACCTCCCAATATATATTACCTTCTGAAGAAGATAAAGACAATGATCTTCTTCTCTTACTCCCACTTCCAACATGCCCTTTTTTTCCACTAGATGGTCTTTGACGTAAAACAACTATTGCCATGTTTTTAATAAGTAAAAAAAATAATAACTGCGAAAAAAAAAGTTTTTTGAATTAAACAAAACTAAAAAGAATTGTGAATTGAAACAAAACTTAAAAAAATTGTGAATAAAACAAGATTGAAAAACTTATCCTATTTATATTTATAACACTTTAAAAATTACATATTGCTAATAAAATAGGTTGATATATTTCTTTAGACTAAACAAATAATTGACAAAATAGAAAGATATTACATCAATATTAAGACTTTATTGCAATATTATATTAAGAAATTACACAATAAATTCTGATATTGTTTTTTGTGCAATAAAAAAAATCCCAATATTAATTATGATCAAACTTTAGTTACATCAATATCTGTAATATATGATAAATTTTTTATGCACTAATATCGGGAATTTTTTTATCTAAAAATCCCAATAATATATGATCAAACTTTAGTTATATCAATATCGGTATTTCAATATTTAATTATAATCGAACTTTAGTTACATTAATATCAGTAATATGTGATTGGAAATTTTTTAATAAAAAAATTCCTGATAATATATAATCGAATTTAGCCCGATTGAACTTTAGTTATATTAATATCTATAATTTTTTTTTTTGCATTTAATTTTGAGAATTTTTAAATAAAATTTCTCGATATTATTATATCAAACTTATATAAATATCTGTAATATAAGGGTTTATTATAATATACATAGAAATTATATATTTTTATTTATTATATTATATATTAACAAACAGCTTATTTAAACAGAATTATGACAAATGACAAAATGATAATTGGTGAAGTAGGTATTATCTTATTCCAATATCAATATATGTATTCTTTCACACTCGAAAAAATTTAAAAATTTCACTATGTTAATAGCATACAAATATGCTATTTATCTTAGTAAAATTTTTAAATTTTACTAGTGCTGATATTTTTATTAATTGAAAAATAAAATAATAAAAAATTTGGTAGCAAGTAATAAATAATATATATTTATTTATATAGATAATGATAATATTTAGCAAATAAAAATTAAAAATAATACTTTAAACACTATATGTATGGCATTTATAAATTATACTTTCTATGTAAAGGAATTATGGCCATATATGTTTTTGGATCATTTTCATTAGTATTGGTATATGTACCTGCTATAAACCGGAAATAGATTTGATATACTAGAATTATGCAATTCCTGCCTAATTCATAAAATTCTTGATCCCATAGCTCTATATTACAACTAGAATCATCCTCTTTAATTTTTATATGAAACCTTGTTTCATGATCATCAACAGGTTTATACTACTTTACAAATGCAAGATGATATGTTTGTTCACTAGAAGGAAGATAGAGAGTGTGATCAAAATAGAATTAAACTTGACCAAGATATGAATCTATTGATTCATCTTCTGAAGCAACAAATCTTGCTAGAATTCTTGAAGATCTGATATGGCGAGCTGAGAATGTAAATCCAAAAATTTCTGATCACAACTTTAATCACTCATATTGAATTATTTAGAGAAATACAGCTATCGTATAAGCGTGTAATAATGCACAGGGGCGTGTTATTTCGAGCCCCTGCGCATTATTTTAGGACGTGCATGCGTGATAATTTGAATCATTATGCTAATTTTGAAAAAAATTTCAACTACTTTCTTGAGTGATAATCTGGTACATATGAAGGGGCCCGTTATTTTGAGATGCGCATGGGTGTTATTTTGAGTCAAATATGCCATTTTTAAAAAAATCAAAATTTCGAAATAATGCCTATGTGCGTTATTACGCGCTTATACGGTATATGATCAATTCCCAAAATATCTCTTGGAGTAGTAAATTGAAAACCTATTGCTGCATTATTATAGAATTCAACTAAAAGGTTATGAATATCAGTTGGTAATATGGCATTTTCAGATTTTGGACCAAGAAATGTACCAGGAAATGGTTCGAAGCCAAAAGCTTCTCCCT